GTTTTGGCATCGTTGGATAGAGAATTGAAAAGTCGATTCAGTCGTAACAACGTGAGTGAGGAAATTCGAGGAGTTTTGACCCAGAAAGCGAAATTTGAATATCAGACACTTAGGTGCAAGATTATGCCAAAATTGCATATTTTCCGTCCCGTTTTTGCTCATTTCTCGGAGGCGAAATGAGCAAGAACGCTCATTTGTACATCATTCTAGAGAGAAATAAATGGGCTTTTTAGAAAGTGAACCATCAATAGGAAATGTTGGCAGTTTTCTCAAAAAATGCTTGAATTCAAGAAGTTTTAGATTTGCGTGGTTTTTTTTTAGTTGCAAAATCCACTTGAACATGACGCTGCTTTTTTCGAGGTTTCTCAAGAACCATTCGAGCTAGAGAATTCGTTTTGGCACCGTTGGATAGAGAATTGAATGGGGGGGTCATGATCCCCATGCCCCCCCCCCTGGATCCGCCCTTGATTATTTGAGATACGCCACGAGAAGCGGCTTCTCTAAGCTGCGAGTTTAATTTAAAAATCCGGGATTTTGAGGCATATTCGAAAAGTTTCCGAAGCACATTTTAAAGAACTCGTCTATTCAAAAAGCATTTTTCAGTTTACTGTAAATAAATAAAATATGTAAGTGAAATTTTCTTACAAAAATTCTAAAATGGTGGGCAAATTGTTAAGAGCCACTTTTGCTATCTTCTAAACCGGAGGGGTTACAGGTTCGGTAAAATGAGGCAAAAGTTGCCAGACGAGGGAGATACTTGAAACTGACCCCCTTAAACTTTTTTCTTTATTATAACACATAACAATTTATTAGAAGTACACAAGTTGTAGATGCTAAAGACTAGTTTATTTTAAACTAGTATATAGTGAAACAAGGTATCTCTAATGCAAGTGCTCAGTAAACACAAATGTGATCCGTGAGACGTTCTATTTTGATCCCCGTTATCCCGCATGGGATGATCCTTGGTAGAATGTCCCTAAGACGTCCCTTGTATCGCACATATATCTCATGCAGATCCCATGCGAGCCGTCCCAGAAACGATAAATTTTTGCTCCCAGGAACATCATGAACAGGACGTATTTGTAGTACTAGTAAATGGCGCGCTCGGGAAAAATTTTACACTTTATTACACACTTAATATAAAACTATGTATATACTATAAAACCGAAATTTAWAAAATGGAATTTAATCAACTTAGATAACCGACATACTTGTATATGCACAATATAAATATAATTATTATAAACTTTTATAATTGTAATATGTAATAGAGCATATATAAATAATAATAATAATAATAATAAATGTCTTTATTGTAAAATCTTAACAATGGTTTACAAAAGGTCAATATAAAACACTTCACCAGACGAAAACCGAAACGCATCCGTTTTGTCGTTTATGGCTTTAACGCCGCCGTGGTGCCATGGAGGCTAATAAAGAAGGCTTATAAAGAGGCATGGAACCATAAATTTTCTTAAATAAAGGCAAAGTCGAACACATGTGGTCGTGCGGACAGACCGACCACAATTTAATCAAATATGTGTTAATGTTAGTTGGGGGTAGTTGTTACAAATATATACCCACTACGAAAACAATAAAGCGCATAAACATCGTGTTTGAATGGAATTTTCGTTTCATGTGTGCTTATTAGACGTTGCGATTAGAAGACTGCTCATGACTGTATTTTCGTACAGTGTTTATGACCTTTCAAAGACTTGATTTGTGAATATTTTGTTGAGTACCTAAGTCGAAATCAATTTAGATCTTTATTCAGGTGGCATTTGCATCAAGGCCGAGGAAAGGTACATTTTTGCAGTACAGCGCCGAACGTTTTAAGAAATATTTTAATTCTATGGTAATCTATAGACCTAATACCTGTACCGACAGGTGTTCCAGATAAAAAATTGAATGATTTGGGAGTTTTTGGTTGAACTTGATCCACCCTCTATCAGCGACAAGTAGGCATTAATTTAGCCAACATTTTTAAATGCAAAAGCTGTAGATGCCATAATCTAGTTTATTTTTACATAATAATTGTTGATACAGGGTGTCTCAAGTTCAACTGGCCGCCTTCTTTTACTTTTTTATATACTACTGCTCAATATAAATTGCATACAAGTTTTTTTAAATTATCTGGTGGATTTAGTTAAATGTCTCAGTTTCTTGGTGATTTGTCTTTCGCTTGTCTGGTAACATTGGAACGTTGCAGGCAGTTATTTGTTTGTCCACAGATGGGAGAGTAATCACTGTGCTATACCTGTCTTTATTTATGCCCATATATATGTATATATGTCTTCCTCTGTGTACAGAACATGGGGGGAACACCACAGACATTGAACACTCAAAGTGATATTATGTGCCTCTGTGATCTGTGGCGTTTGTCGTGCATTGTTTACGTTTTTTCCAATGATATCAGAGACACTTGTCTCTGATGATATTTATTACAATGTACTTGATGGCTCGGTACTAATTGCTCACTACAGTATTTTCAGTTTATTACGGATTCACTCGTGCTATACCTGGTCATTCTAGTTCAATTGAAGTGAAGTGAATATCCAACAATTGTTCAATGTCCTTCTCGGCTAAGTTTGTGCTTGCAGTACTATGGGCTGGTATGATTTCCCTTTTTTAAATAATTTAAAATTCTAATTAGTTTACCAGATGTCCACTTTAGTTGATTTTTCGCAGAACTTGGCTATTACAAATGGGTATGACTTCATAGGTGTTCTGTGCTGGGTAGGGCTGCGCTGTCGATCAGTTCAGTTTCCGTAGGAAGCTGAAGCGCAATTTAAGCCTCAACATGTTCGAATGAAACCAGTTGCGACTCATTTTTTTACCTGATTATAAAACAAACCTTGGCTTCTCAAGGTGTAGTTTCATTCCAATAATTTAAGTTAATAATTCAACTAATTTCAATTTTTCAAATTCACTTTTCATTCGAAGGGTTTTCAAGCTAGTTGAGCCTGTATAATTTTATCACCCCCCAATCGTAGCTTAGTTTTTGGACTGCATCAGTCTTTGTCACATTTAATTATTTTTTTATAAATCTTTATAATTACAAATAGTCTTGGATTTTGGGAAAAGTGTGCTTTAATGCAAATAGCTTGTGCTCCGCATTCATATAATTTTCATTAAATTTTCGGAATTTCGAATACTTCTGAGAAGTTAATCTTCTTCTTCGGATCACCACAAGGTCCGCCTCCAAAGAAATGCCACCCCAAAACATTATTGAGCCACCATAGAAAGCCAGTTGGGAAACCATACATGCTTGGCTGTATCTTTCTCCTGGTCTTCTCCAAATAAAAACTTGCCCATCCCAAGCAAACTCAAGCGTAGCTTGTTTCTGAGCTATGGTTAAGAGAGGACATTTTCATTGAGACAGATTCATTGAGCCTTCTTCGTCCCGTTTTGGAAGAAATTGCAACATTTCGGGCATTTTTAATTCAAATTTTTTATCTGATTTCCGGAAATAAACCAATTTCTTAAAGCTTGCAGTCGAATAAAACGATCGTCCACGTGGTTTGTGGTTGGAGATCGAATAAAAAAATGTCCAACGACCATATTCTTGAACACGTTTCATTTATTTTATCAACAATTTTTTACAACATCTGATTTATTTTCAGTAATCATCACTGGTCTCTGTCGAGGGGAATCGGAAATCGCCCGATTGGAGGCATATTATTATGGCAAATGCAATCAAACTGGCGACTTGAGGAAATTCGAAAAACTGCGAACGGATGCCTACGAGATGTACAAATACGCCGAGTTTGCCATTAATTTGTTGCCCGATTCCACTGAAACATTTTGCAAAAATCATAGGCCCAAACTTATTGAACGCGCCGATGAATTGAAAAATGACCTGAACCAGTGTCTGCCTGCAGGGCGGCATTTTTTTGGCAAATTTGTCAAAGACAGCATTGTGGAGATCTTACATTTTCTCTGCCACAATAACGCAGAGAAAACCAGAAGTAAGTGGGTATTTTTATTAAGTTTCTCCTTATTATTATTCATCATCATTAATTATATTTCATCTTTATACATTTGATTAAATTGCTCACGCCGCACAAATCTAATTCTACCGTCGTCTACAAGTCGCAGAATTCACGAAATGAAGTTGCTTTGAAATATATCAGGGTGAATGTGGAGGTGTAAACCAGAGACAAGAAATAGGTATCCCTTATCTCTGGTTTGAACATTTGCACCTTTTATCATTTAAAAATTAACCATTTAAAAATAAAGTTGTTCTTGATAAAATGTTGGCGGGCTTTGTATCAAATTACCCGTATCGTTGCACCCTGTTTATTAACCCAAAATGAATGTTGGTAAAACATACGTTAAACCTAAATCTATTTAGGGTTTTTTACGCAAGGAGGCCCTGACTGTATGAAAACTTTGGAAGAACCATCTAGCTCCAATCTTGACAACTGCTTCAATAGAATATTCGCACCATCAAGCAATTTCATTACGAAAGTTGAACTATGCGAGTAAGTGGTGTGCGAATTGAACAAATTGATAATAAAGCAATTTGTTTTGCCTAGGGATATAGCGGTAGCCAGGAAATGCTTCGAACGATTGGTGGACGACTCTTGCCGAATAGGTTCTATGAGACAACTGAATCGTGAATTTTTTACTTATGTGTCTAAACCATGTTCCAGCTCATACATGGCCATAAGTGCCAATGCATTGTTACTGTTTGTAATTTTAAGTATAGTTTCTATTGTTAGTTGAAATAGCCCAGCATGTTGAAAATTTTGACTTGTGATATATTTGCAAATCATTGAATATTATTAGCTTAAGTATAAATATCTGAAAAATCACATTTAGATGACCGGCCGTGAAAGCCTTTACAGTCTGATACCTGAAAAATATATGTATATATACAAAGTTAATCAGTCCCTTACTGGTCCTTTTGAATGACCCTAATAAATCACACAATGGCTTCGCCTGTGACTGAAAGTTGCGAATAGTCTGTTCGTCTCGCATTAACATCCAATTTCATAGCAATTAAATGGTCCATTTACGCAAGGAGAATCTTAGAATACAATTTATTATCAACCAACTAGACACTCTACAAACAATCCCAATAATATTTAAGTTTCAATAGTTTCCAACTGTTTTTGGCTTTGCACAGCTTGTCTCTTTTTGCGGAGGCGGCGCTCTCTTTCGTACTCTTTCATACGGATAACGAAGCTAAAATTCAAGAAAAACTCGTATGTCTTATCTCATCGGTTGTCCAACTATACACATGCTTACTCATCGTATTTGCAAGTTAAAAATGCATGTTTTTCATGTGAACAATTGACAACAAATGGGTAGTTCTCCTTTCGACAGGCTCGAAAATCAATTAGCTTGTGAGCACAGTAGTCCCGATCTTTTAATGGAAGCTTTGCAGATACCATTTCTGCTTCGGTGACTTTCATTTCTACAAAACATTCAACATTAGGCAATCTTTGACTAATTAACATTCAACTAGGAAGTGGGAACTTGTGTTTGGCTAACTAGTGGTTTTTCTTGAGTTTGAAAGCTGTTTTTTCTGGCTCGTACTAGCTTTTATGAGTGTTTTGAACTTGGAAGAGTCTTGCTCACTCTGTTTTGTCCTTCATATTGATTCAATTTTTTATGGGCATTTTACGGAGTTTAGTTATTTACAATAATAGTTCAATTTAGGCCTTCACATCGATATGAATCAGCAGCATTACATACCTCAGAATGGGTCTTGTGTGGCCGATAATTGGAAATATTAAAACAACGGAAACTGTGGTTGTCAAAGCCTTAAAAGCAAGGGACAAAACCGCCACTTACCCCTAGCTTTTCTACCATTAGGGAATCCCAATAAGGGGTCAAAAGTGGGCTCTTCAGTCGGATCTGGGGTGATTTCAGGGTGGAAGTACAAATCGTACATGTTACTTGGTATGTAACCCACGGAATTGCCCATGTTTGTAACGTTTTGGGATAATTATTAAATAAAAGTTATAGCTGGAAAATTTGGGGTTATGTTATGTAATGGTTTGACATTTACAGTTTACAGTCAGGGTGACCAGACTGAGAAATGGCAATGTCGCCAAAAACGGCAAAATGTGGACTTAAAAATCGCCGGTTTTGGGGCCAAGTAAATTCAAACGGGGTAAACCAATAAAAACAAAGCGGAACGGTTTAAATTAAGCAAGAACTTTAGTTATTCTAACAAGTTGAATTGAAATCATATATGTTTATTTGTGCGTCTAAAATATATTAATTTAATGAGAAATTGGCGCCAAACGAAAAAAAATTGTCGCCAACATAAATTGTCGCCAAAAATCTCCAATTTGGCGATAAATCACCACACCTGGTCACCCTGTTTACAGTGCCAGAAACGTAAGCTTATCAAGCAGCAAGGTTCCTAAATTATATAACGTTGATGAAGCAGGCTGTCCCCGGTTTGTAACTATAACGCGTACAGAATTTTTTAAATTGAATTATTAGTGTATTAAAAATCCTCATATTACAGTCTCTGTAAATATTTCTGTTTGAAAATAAATCAATAAAGAAGTTTCTCAATTTTTTTTATAATTATATAGAGTGATTCAATTTTAAATCGGAAAAATTTCAAGTTTTGACCAGTTTGTTAACTAGATTTTGATCAGAGGCCAGCTTCTCTGTTAAAAAATGTTCATCAGGTTCCTGCTGATGTGAAAAATGACTCAGGAAACTGCGTTCTACGGAAGATGTCTTCAGGCTGAACGTTAAAAATGAAACTGATTATCTCGTAGTGTTTTTTTCCATAATTTTCTTTCACTTTGTCTTTGCATTTACTCAAAACTTTGTTGCAACCTCTTCAACATTTCAACCCTAGTTTCTGTTGCTCATATTCGGTCTATTTTATGTCTTCCAAGATGTTCCAGCAAATCATCAGCATTTGAACATCGTGGAACAACACTTTTTAGCTTTTAAAAGATAGCTTTTTTTGAAGAAGCCTGTTAAAATCTACGGTATATCGAATTTTTGAAAGAATATCTTATATGCTATTTTTCGTGGCACAACCTTATCCGATTACTTAAATCTTGAAGAAAAATCGAATGCTCCATATGAGGGCACTCAAAGCTCTATTGTCTATCTTAAGAACATTTAAAAAAATTTAAAACGCTCGTTTTATTCGAATTTGTTCGAGGGCTGCAAATAAACAAAAAAATAATAATTTGCTACTAATGCAGAAATGTATCGGACGCACTAAAATTACAAAAAAAGAACTAATCGTGTGTAAATTGTATGGATAAACGTAAAATAGAATAACAATTTTTAACAAGCGGCGTTTGAAATGGGTAAGACCATAGAGAAAGACATGTCATGCGTCAAGCATGTGTCTCATGCATCCGTTTATACGATGATGCGAAAGTGTTTCTATTGGTTGAAGATCTGTCAGTTCGTACGACGGTGGACGAATTGACAGATCTCCAAAAAATAGAAACACTTTTGTATCATCGTATCATCGTATAAACGGATGCATGTGACACAGGCTTCACACGTGGGGGAGCGCAGGGTTTCTAGATTGAACTCTTCCTCTCTCGCTCTTAGTATACCCTAGGAACCTTTGGCGTCTTTGGTGCGCAGTTCAATCCGCGCAGGCGTAGCGACTCTATAAAAACGGCCGCTTTAAAACTTTGGCTTCAGTTTGTAAACGGTTCTAATCGGGTCGGGTACAACTTGCAGAGATCAAGTGACATTATTGTGTGTCTGATTAGTGATACATTGATTGTGTTTTGACTTGAATCATATTGTCTAGTAGTGTTTCTGGAACATTTGAATTATTTAATTTTTGTCTAGAGACTGAACTCAGTGATCGTGCTGTGGATTTAACAAATTTGTCTCCAGTTTCTCGAGCAGAGGTATGTGTGTATTTAAATTATTAATTGTTTAACGCACAATTAATATTTGCGAATTTAGACGTTAAGACGCTTAATAGAGCACGTGTGCGAATTTACGTTAAGGTTCAATTTTTAACCGCAGAACAACGTAGTGTGGGGTGAACTCAGATTTGTCTACTTTATTTTATCTTTTTTTATTTAATAAAAATTATTTCAAATTTTTCTCAATATTTTTCCTCCTCAGTAAATGGAAACCTGGTGAAAGCCATATTCATCTGGTTTTTTTCACAAAGCGGGACTTTTCTTTTGCTGTTTTTCCCTGACTATTCAGGTGTTGTATGATATTCAAATTTCGCTGTCTTGATCAAAACTACTCGAATTTCTGCACTTACAATGTTTTGACTGAATCGAATTTTCAATTCTCTATAAACTTTCTTTTTTTAGAAAACTGCCAACATTTTCTTTTGAACTTTATCTTTTGTTGTAGCAGAAAAATTAAAGAGATATTTTTTATTTGCAATAAGAAAAATAATTTGAAAAGCTTTAACACTTACTAAATACTAAAATTAAAAAAATACAGTAGCGTACAATTTTTTTCCTCATGAATTTCGGTAATTATTTTCTTGCATAACATGCGGCAGCCCTAGCTGTTGATTCCTGGAAAATTTCGTTAAGATATATCTATGCGTTTTGAAGAAATTTATCATTTCGCATCTTTTAAATTAAATTTCAACACTAACTAAGCATGGTTAACACACGTGGTTAAAATAATGCCCCTTCCACATGGAACACCTTGTATATTACTAACGCATTTTCACAGTAGAAATGTTAACGTTTATTTAATTTGTAGCGGAAACTAATTCCGATTAATTATTTATTAATCTTAATTTAATTTGTGTTTCTTCGACCGGTGTAGGCATGTATTCATCTTCTAAAATAGTGGCTCTATGGGGAGATTCAAAATGCAGTGCATTAATTTTACGTCCAAAAAGTGGGGAAAAAAATGCAATTAACACAGCTCGGCAAACGCTTCTTTTTCAAAATAGGAAATTTAAAAAGTTTTTCTCTGCTGATTGTTATCGATTAATAATTAAAATTGTTGCCATACTGAGCCGTCATCCTCTACTCTGTCTTTTCTTTGGTTTACTAATGGTAAATTAATAGATTTTACCAAGAAATAAGACATAACGTAAAGGCAATAACTCGAAAACAGAGGCAGATGCCAAATAAATGCGGGAGGCAAAAAAGTTTCTAAATTGAGCGAGCAATTGGGAAGAAACTCTGTCATTAAACATTAGTGACGCACCAAAAAAAGTTTAGGGTTTTTTAAAACACTTTTTTTAGAATTTAGGCATCAGTTCACATGTCTAATAATGTACAGTATACTAAATTAAATACGGAATAACTCTTGGAGCTATAAAGAAGACACTTTTATAAATTGCAAACGTGGACACCTTGTATTTGGAAAAAACTTCTTTCACTTTCATGTTTCGTCGAAGAGCACAGTCCTAAAATGAATATATTGAATTTTGAATCACTTTTTGTGTTTGAAAACTGTTGTGCTGTATTTTGTCTCCCCCAAACTGAAGGAAAGATTATTATATACCTACTGTACTCTACTGGGTCTTCGATAATTCCAAAAAATGTATTTTCTTGTTGCTGTATAGCTTTATATAGTAATTCTTAGTAGAATAATCTGGACATTATTTTAAAAAGAAGTACTAATGACGAACACTATTTACTGTTCTAGGTACAAGCTTTTTAGTTTCATGTCGCCGCTAGAGTACAAAGTTGATCAGACGTTGAAAAGCATGTAATCCAATTGATCTGGTAGATTATATATATATTTTTATAGTTCTTTTATCAACACAGTTCGAAAATAAATGCTCTGAATTTAGAATCACTTTTTATGTTTTATTGTCTCCTACAAACTGAATATCTTAGACCCATACTACAAAATTTTCGATAATTCCAAAAAATATCTTTCGGTCGCTGCTGCAAACTTGAAAAATAGTTGTCGCTTCCAAATTTAAATGTAAAAAAATATACTTGTACTTAAAAAAAAATGTTTGCTGTTTTTGTATGTTTCACTATAATGTATAAACACGGTTACATTATTACATGAATAAAAAACTTCCAAAAAAACACATGGTTTGGTATTCACTTTGTTAAATTTGCTATTGGCCAAGTTTTGAATTTGAGTTGAAATGTCTTGAAAAAGAAACTTTAGGTGCCAACTGTCCAAGCAAACAATACGGCTTAGACTTATCTTAATATTTTTATTGTTTGGAAACTCACACCCGAGAGATTTACGAGAGGCATTCGAGGCCATTCTTTGAAGCAAGAGAAGCTTGTGAAAATCCAGGAAGCAAGTATATATTCACGACGGTCTAAAAGCCCGAAAAACTGCACCTAAGTTTCACAATCTGGTTGACTCCAGTCTTGTCGAGTAGCTTGAAATGAATGAAAGGTGGGCATTTATTGCCTATGTGTTAAAAATTTCTTTCTTATCACTTGACCCATCTAATC